GATTATTATGATCAAATACCTTCACAGTGAAAAGTAAATCTCTTGCAATTAACAGTTAGCTAGCAATAGCTCACATGCATGAGCTAATGTAACTACAGCATCACCAACTACACAATTACTGCCTTTAAATAAGGTAACATGCAGAATATTCTCAATGTTTCTTGCTCTTCTCCTGGACCATGAGAGCATTTACAGCACAACTGTCCTCTTCATCAAACAAACCTGAGATTTACTGTTCAATCACACTTTAGGAAGTGAGGAAAAGGGAGAAAGGAATGAGGGAGAATGTGAGAGAAAGGAGGAATAAGAGGAGGTTGGGCACGCTTCCGAAGTTGGAGTTGGATGTTGAATTGAATTTAACAAATCCAGGCAGGTTGCTGCCAGTGTTAGACTTGATCCAGTCCTGATACTGAGAGACTCTGGCGAACACAGTGGGAAATGTGGGGTCAGCACATCGTTGACCAAAACTCACAATGCCGGACTGAATCCACAGGGAGCCGCTCTTGCTGATCATTGGACCTCCAGAGTCTCCCTGTATTGACAAACATTCAGCATTTATATCTCTGACAGTATACAGTGAACAACTGTTATAGATATAAGTATGCAATAGTGTAGCCCGATGGTAAATGTAGGCTGGCTGTGTGTCCGTCAAAACGTTTTTTTCCTGCGGCGCCCAGCATACCTTTTTCAATTGTTTGCAGTGGGAGCGCTGAACATTTTTCTCTACTGAGAGTTGAAAAATGTTAAACTTTGGGTAAAATCAAGTTTTGAATAAGTTTGCTTGTAGTTTGTTATTTGATGCTATAATAATGGGGTGTGGCGTCATGATTGAGTACGTTTACATGGACAACAATAATCCAATATTAACACGATTAAGACAATACTCTGATTAAGAATCTAACATGTAAACAGAGATTTTTGATTATCTTAATCCGGCTAAAGTCATACTCGAAGCAAATCGAATTAAGACATGTGGAGTATTCCCATTTTAGTCACATTATTGAAGTGCAGTATAGACATGTACACACCTTAATCACACTATTAATGTTGTGTAGGACTTTTCACACAGGATACACACACGGCAGTGCTCAACTGTTTGACGGCAAAACAAAAGAGCATGGCTTCAAGCACGGCGGCACATTTTTATCCGTCGTCGTCTAGTTGCACATATAGCATGACATATAATTAACTGCACTTGAAGCTTTCGTAAAATTAAAAATTAAACATCCAAAACTGTATGTTGATATGTGAAATTGACCCTTCGCAAAAACCCGCCCTCCTTAGTTACTGTTGCTATGTCCAACAAGCCATACCACTCTCACACTACACATCATGTTCTCACACAGAGAAAAATACATCGCGGAGCAAAGAGGAAACTGACACCACGCCGACAGACAAGATCCGTCGTCGTCTAGTTGCACATATAGCATGACATATAATTAACTGCACTTGAAGCTTTCGTAAAATTAAAAATTAAACATCCAAAACTGTATGTTGATATGTGAAATTGACCCTTCGCAAAAACCCGCCCTCCTTAGTTACTGTTGCTATGTCCAACAAGCCATACCACTCTCACACTACACATCATGTTCTCACACAGAGAAAAATACATCGCGGAGCAAAGAGGAAACTGACAACACGCCGACAGACAAGACAGAGCAGGTTATTTCTGGTATGAAACAAAGTCTTAGCTTTCAAATTTTGTCATTTTTTAAGAAATTCATACAATAAATACGGTTTTGTGGCTCTCACTGTGTCATGACAGATAGCGTGTAGCACCTCAGTTCAAGCGGCACGTGAACCGATCGTCTTTTCATATTTCCTTAAAGCACGAAATAAACATGAATGAACATTAAAACTTATTTTATTTCAACCAAGGAAAGACGTCAATACACACAATTTTTCAAGTTTAAGTCCACCGAAGTTAACCTACTCTCCTGTCTGATTTGTTTGTCGGATAAAATACGCTATGATTGGTCAGATCGCCTGTTAATCAAGCTCTTTGCGAAGGGGAAACATCGGATGGCGTCGCGTGGGAACGTGACGTGTGCCATTAATCGATCTATGTACTATAACATGTAAAACGGGAACATGAAAGGAATATTCTAAAAGCAACTCATTTAAACACCTTAATAATAATATTGTCTTATTCAGAATAAGGTAAATAATTAGATTACTGATGTCCATGTAAACGTACTCATTGTGTGCTTGTGATTGGGTCTGAGGGAGTTTAGGACGGGACTTTGATACCGCGCCTCCTCCTCGTGATCACTATTGCACAGACTTGGGCTACAAATGACGTCATCAGCACAAGATGACAGCGGCCATTTCTGGGACATTTTGGCTTTATTTTTCGATAGTGAAAGGAAGTGGTGATGTGTCGTCCATCTTTTTTACAGTCTATGTGTTAAATGTAGCACTCATCACTGTCACTTTTTACCCAGCTGTCTAATCGCAGTGGAGGATGGGTGAGACAAATGCCACACAAGCCAACCGTCACATCCTACAACTACAAATAACAGTGGAGAAGTTAAAGGGGTCATATGACGTTGCTAAAAATAACATTATTTTGTGTATTTGGTGTAATGCAATGTGTTTATGCGGTTTAAGGTTAAAAAAACACATTATTTTCCACATAATGTACATTATTGTTGCTCCTCTATGCCCCGCCTTTCTGAAACGCATCGATTTTTACAAAGCTCATCATTCTGAAAAGCGAGGTGTACGCTGATTGGCCAGCTATCCAGTGCGTTGTGATTGGCCGAATTCCTCAAGTGTGTGACGGAAATGTTACACCCCTTACCATACTGCGATGCCGTGTCCCGGCGCAATAAGACAAAAACAATAAAACCCATTATAAACAAGGGATTTGATGCATCCGGTGGGGACATAATTACTGATTATAATGACTTATACTGGATCTACAGTCCAGTCACAGCTGATCTTCATGAGTTAGGTCAAGTCACAGTTGATCGTCCAGAGTCTCGTCACGTCACAGTTGATCGTCCAGGGTCTCGTCACGTCTCATCTGATATTCCAGAGCCTCGCCATGTCTTGTCTGATCTTCCAGAGTCTGGCCATGTCTCGTCTGATCTTCCAGAGTCTTGTCACGGCCTGTCTGTTGCACCCAGATCTTCAAGGTCAGTCCTTCGGTATCCCAGTCTCCAGTGTGAGGGATGCACTGCTGGTGTCTGCATACGCAGCTGGTATCCCCAAACCTACTCACTTGAGTCCTCCAGTTCTTGAACTGATTCCCCTGTCTGTAGCATTTCCCATATGGGGGATCGCCTTTTGGTGTGTTTGGGCTGCATACACCACCACAGAACCTCCCGAGGTGGCGGCTGATGCTGCAGAACCTCCTGAAGGAGTGGCGCTCGCTGCTGTGTTCCCTGAGGTGATGGCACCCACTGCAGTTTCTCCAGAGGTGCCAGCGTATGCTGCAGAACCTCTTAATGCAGTGGCGCTTGCTCCAGCTCCTTACGTGGTGGTGGAGCCCAGCAATGAACTCTGTACCTGTCCTGTTAAGGAGAATTCTAATGAACTCTCCATGTTTCCTGATGGTACAGCTGCAGAACCTCCAGAGGTGGCGGCATCTGCTGCAGAACCTCCAGAGGTGTCAGTGGGATCCACTTATGAACTCTCGTCCTGTCCTGTCCCGGCCAAGCAGGCCATCTATGAACTCATTTATGGCTATGGAGTCTGTCTGTGAAGTCTCAGCCTGTCCTGTAACGGCTATGGAAGCCGTCTGTGAACTCTCAGCCTGTCCTGTAACGACTACGGAGGCCGCTTATGAACTTTTGTCCTGCTCTGAACCGGTCATGGAGACCCTCAATGAACTTTCGTCTGGTCGTGTCACCGATTATGAACTTTTAGCGCAGTCTGTCACAACCAAGGAGGCCATATTACAACTTCCAACCATGCCTGTAACTACACCAGAGACAGTAATGCAATTTATTTTCACCCCGATTCAGCCGAGGAAGCTGTTTATGAACTCTCATCCCTGCCTGTCACTGCCATGGAAACCCTAAATGAACTTTCTGTATGCCCTGTTAATTCTGTCACTGCCAAAAAGACCACTAGTGAACAATCTATCTATCCCACTTCAGTCAGTGAGGTTAATTTCGAACCATCTATCTGCCCAGTTCCAATCAAGGAACCAGTTATCTGCCCCATTGGCCCAGTCATGAGCCCGGAAGATGTAAATGCACTCCCTGTCTGTCACGTTAACCCTGTCACTACTATAGAGACCATTCATGAACTGTCTGCCTGTTTTGTTTCCCCTAACGTGTTTGCTGAACTGTCTGCCTTGCCAATCCAAGTCTGTAAGCCTGTTTATGAACTGTCTGCCTGTTCAGTTTCAATCAGTGAGCCTGTTTATGAACTGTCTTCTGACCCAGTTTCAGTCAATGAGCCTGATGTTAAATCACCTGTCTGTTCAGATACCACTGACAATTCTGATGTCTTACTATCTGCCTGCCCAGTATCAGTTTATCAGTTTATGAATTGTTTGTTAGTCCATTTTCAGTCAATACATCCAGTTTTGTCTGCCTGTCTTAGTTCTGCTCTTGAATCTAACTGTGAACTGTCAACCCACTGAGTTTTTGCCAATGCCCCCAACTATGAACTGTCAGTCTGTCCAGCCAGTCTTAAGGAGACCAACACTGAACTTTTAGCCCCGTCAGTCATGCCTAAAGAGACTTTTAATAAGCCTGGTCTGGTGGTCTTCTGCTCCGTCTGCTCCGGTCTGGTGGTCTTCGGCTACGCTCTGCTGGACTTCTGCTCTGGTCTGGTGGTCGTCTGCTCCGGTCTGGTGGTCTTCTGCTTCGTCTGCTCCGGTCTGGTGGTCTTCTGTTTCGTCTGCTCCGGTCTGGTGGTCTTCTGCTCCGTCTGCTCCGGTCTGGTGGTCTTTTGCTCCGCCATGGTGGTCTTCTGTCCTGCACTGGTGGTCGTCTGCTCCACCATGGGGATCTTCGGACTTGTCTGCTCTACTGTGGTGGTCCTCAGCTCCGCCTGCTCCACCTTGGCTTCCTGCTTCGCCGGCTCCACCCTGGTTCTCTGCTCCGCCCTGGCTTCCTGCTTCGCCGGCTCCACCCTGGTTCTCTGCTCCGCCCTGGCTTCCTGCTTCGCCGGCTCCACCCTGGTTCTCTGCTCCGCCCTGGCTTCCTGCTTCGCCGGCTCCACCCTGGTTCTCTGCTCCGCCCTGGCTTCCTGCTTCACCGGTTCCACCTTGGTGCCCTGCTCCGCCGGCTCTGCCTCAGTTCTCGGTCTCTCCACTTCGACGTGGACCTGGCCCTCCGTCCCTCCGCCTGTTCCGCCTCCTCTCTACCGCCCTCTTGGATTGTATTATGTTAGGAGTGTCTGGAAGCCGCTCCTTGTGGGGGGGGGGCTCTGTCACGTAACTACTGTTATGTCAATTTCTTTATCAGCACAATTTGCATGGATTATTAGTGAAGTGTGTGAAGTGTGCACTCTGAAGGGGGCATTTGTTGTTGCAAATAAATATACATTTTTAATAGTTCTTTTTAAACCAATTGTGTTTGTGTCTTATCAATAGAGTAATTGTTTACCAAATTGGTGCTCCTTGTGGTCGATGATGCTCGATAAGTATGAGCACGTCAGTGATATGATCTGAGTCTGTCTTCATCAGTCACAGACGCTGTGATATTTTGATATTTTCGCCACATTTTCTTGTAGTGTGAGCAATGCAACAACAATGGTGAACTGCTCTAATGATATCATAAACCTTAATGTACATGAACGCAAGAAGACAGTTTGATCATAACTGCTTTATACTATTAAACTAATAAGAAATATATTTAAAAAATCTAAATAAATGGCCTTTGCACTATACTTAACATTTTGATATATTTTATTTACTATCAGTTTTCTGCCGAACAGACATGGATAACCAGTCTGCGTGTATTCTGTATTTTTGTCTCATCTTTTTTTCTGCACATATGATTGGACAGCGAGCATGAGCGTCTCTCTAAAGTCTTGCATGAATTCATGTGAGAAAGTGTTTTTTTGTTGTTCATCGGGGTTGCCGCTTGGCCAAAGATAGTTTGTGCACCTAATCGGTGTTTTGTTGTGTATTATGAGTGCTGCTAAAACAAGAAGGAGACATGTGACTACAAAACTTGTTGTGAAGTTTAACATGCCGGTTCATGTAGTCTCGTAGTCCTGTAGTGTGAGCTTGCCCGATCTAGCAAGTGGTAGCAAGTGGTAATCAGTCTTATTTTTCATATTCAGATTAGTCCTATCTATGTTTTTATGTAACTGACTTTAAAAAAGTTATGAACAGTCTTGCAAAAAAAGATTAGATTACTAAGCTGTTTAAGCAACAGGCTACATGTATTGTATCAAAAATCAGTCGTAGAGTACGAGTTCATGATCAGTGCAGTAAAGACGGGGCTTAATTAAGAAATTAGACTGGCAGTGTAAAGTTTGCAGGTGACAAAACTGGTGAGTAGTGTTTTGTATATTGATTTGGATTAAAAAGTGTTCTAATGAATGACTGATGTCTTACCTGACATGCACCTTTTCCTCCCTGATTTAGCAATCCAGCACAAATCATATTGCTTGTGATGCTTATGTTGACCCCTCCATAAGCATTAGCACAGGCACTGTTGTTCACAATTGGTATCATCACCTCCTGCAGTATGTCAGGAACCTCGCCTGTGACAGATTTTATGGCTTTTAAAAAAACATTTCTAGGTAAACTGTTGCGGTTTACAGTATTGTTTGCATTCAGTTAACTGGCAAGCAAATGTTCACTTACCATCAGGTTGTAGTCTGCCCCATCCAGTGACCCAGCTCTCCGTACCTCCACCAAATACACTCCCAGCCGCTGCCAGACAGACCGGCTTAATGTAATCAGAGAAAGTCACAGAGGAGGAGAGCTGGACCAGCACTATATCATTGTCAGGATTAGAAATGTTAAAGTTAGGATGGTTGATGAATCGACTCGCTGTCCTGTTTGTCTCAAAAAGGTTAAAGCCGGATTGGTTCAGACGCCCAAAGTACATCACAATGTAAGATGCATTGAACCTGTAAATAGAGAAAGTCTGCTTTAATCCCACTATTATCAATCTACAAATGTATCTTAAGCTTTATTTAAGCTTTCAACATATACCACTGGAAGCAGTGAGCTGCAGATAAAACCCAGTCTTTATTGATGAGAGTCCCGCCACAGAAATGGCCGAAGTCGATGTCCTGAAAGGTGAGATGAATGCTGACCTGCCACGGCCAAGCCCCTGCTGTCGCATTCTTCCCTCCAACAATCCTGTTCTTGAGAGGGGCTCGACCACATACTGATGAGAGAAAGCAAGCAAGATTTCTTCTTAAAGTGCCTCACAGACACAGAAGACACATCTATGAGTTTTATTATCTTTATGACCACTTACCATCTAACTGGCAGAGCGAACCTGTGTGGAAAGACAAAGGCAAAGGCAAAGTAAACAGAGAGTCATCCAGAAAGAGCTGATAAACTGGTTTGTGTCGCCCAGCTGTTACATCAGTGCTGGTGCATAATGGCATAAAAACATGGAAAAAAAAAAACCTTTACCTTTATAATAATGTTTATGGATTTTAGCCACAATACCTGTTAAAGTATTTCATATTCATGACGTGATCAAAGTAACTAACCTAAATCAGTTTAGTTTTACATGCAGTGCGTTTGTGAATGAGATGCTTCTGTTTCATGAGTTTTATGCCCATAAACATTTAGTGAGCGTTACTGAATATAAAATAATTGTGTCCATGCCTTTGTGTGTGTTTTCAAACAATGTATGAGTAGTTTGCTCACAGATTTTACAGTATATTACAGTGTTTTACTGTATTTTACAGTATATTACAAGTATTTCATAAAAATTTTGACACTGTTTATTCTTTATAATTATCACTATTTTCCACATTTTGGGATAATATTAAAGTAATCAAATCTATAACTGACATAACTAAAAGAATTGGATTTATGTAGTGACCAAAATATTACACAAATCAAAACTATCTTTTAGCTTCTTCAGATTCACTCAACTGCATCCTGATTCTTGACATCCTGGAATTTACATGAACTAAACTCATCCATTAAAATACATACATTATGTATTTATAAAGACATTCATACAAATGCAGAATTCGTGTTTACCTACTAAACCAATTTCAAGCATTTAACCGTAAGTCTTCAGATCCAACATTTTTACAGTCATGAGAAACATAAATTGTCAAGTGTGTTTACAAAGGTTCTTAGGAATGAAATGGCTTGAATTTGAAACAACTGAAACAAACATTATTAAATGTACATCTAATTTTGTCATGTTATAGACTTTTTGTAAGCTCTTACCTGTTATGTAGAGAAGTGTGATTGCAGCAACACTCAAAGCGCTGTTGAACTTCATAATTATTATTCTGCTCTGTGATCAGACTGTTTCTTGACTGTCAGGTTTCTGATGAGATGGAAAACAAGAACCACCGCATTTATCAAGAATTCTCTGTCTCCACCCCACCACTACGTTCATCTCATTTTCAGAAAAAAAAATCTTATCCTGAGTTTTCATAGCTTTTCATTCATTTTGTGGAATGCGGGTGGGATGTTATCACTACTTTTTACTAAAGTCGATGTCGTCCCCACAACTTTTTGAAAGCCTTTGAAAAAACAGCATGCAGGAGCATGAACGACACAGAAGAACAAAATCCATCATTCTTCACAATTTATTTCACACATGCATCATGAAATACATAGAAGGCATGCACATTCAATCCACCATCCATCTCCATATTTAGCGCCAGTATACGGAAATGTGGATTAAATATATTAAAACCATGTCTGTGAATGTTGCATTTCTGGGAACCATGTACAGCGATCAATGTTTTTTCTTACTAAATCTGTTTATGATTTTTGTGTATTCACCACTATTAAATGTCTGTGAATCTTAGATTTGGTTGGGTCTGGGCTTTTTTTTTTTTTTTTTTTACATTGAAAAATGTTTCAATTTAATTTGATAATTTTTTTTTTAAAGTTTAATAAATACCAACATCGCTTCATGCTTGAAGTAGTGAAATTGTTTACAATTCACCTGTTTTCACTTAATTTGGATATGGTGATAAAAGAACATTGACTAATATGAAATCTTGAAACATCACAAGGTCAATATTTTACTCCGTATATTCATGTGGTAACATAAAAATGTGCTGCAATGTTTATGCAATGCAATCAATGAGAAAATGTCCATGATCACTGAACTTAAAAAAAAAGAAAAGAAAAATTAAAGACTCAAGATCAGATGCTATGCACTGACATTGTATCGCACTGTTTATGAGACAGTTGATGGTGCTTTATCTAATCAGAGAAAAGACCTGCCTGTACTTTCAGTATTCTAACCTACTTACAAAGGCACCTGAATATGGCCAAAAAATGTGAGAAAACCAGTATGTACAGTCAACCCTATTCATACGTACAGTAGCAGAAGAGTCAAACATCTTTATTCTTCTGTTAACAGCATTTCAGGTCTGCAGGCATGCAGAGACATTAGAGACATCAAAAAAGAACTACATTATGAAATCAAGTTGTCACCTTTATTTATACAATACAGAATGTCAAAGCAGCTTTTAAGTGTTAAACAGGAAAATCATGGTTGTTTCCCACATCTTCCTGTGGGAAAAAACATTGGGGAACATTGTCAGAGATTTTTCTATGTGGCTTGAGCCATGCGTCCTTCACAAAGACAGATCTGCCAATTGTAAATGCAGATGTCAAACAGACGTCTCCGTGATGTAAGTGTGCTATCAGAGATATAATACACACTGTTGCGTCAAACAGTATTTATATGTTTTTAAAGAGGCATTCAGATGAACTTTTTGTGGTGTTTATCAAATAACACCATATACTTAAATAGGCCATATTTTTGTTATTCAAACATTTGTTTACACATTATGATTTTAATGATATAATTAGGTTTTAAATCTTGGTAAAACGTCTGGAAACCCTGAATTTTACTTATGTTTCTCCAGCGACATAGTAAAGTCATGTGCTTTATACAATACATTGATTCAAAGCAGCTTTACACATACAAAGCAAATCTACAAAATACAATATAGTGTCATTATTCAGATCAATTTAAATAGTTTCAAATGAAGCGGAAGTATTTTATAATTAATGTGATGTGATAGAAATCCTTCACTTGCTCTTGTAAAATCATTTCTCAGTCTCTATTGACTGTGTGTACTCTCCACATCACTGATCCTGTTACCAGACATGTTTCCTTTGTCCCGCTCAATCAGTTTCAGTGTAAATATCATCTGACAACAAGGCAGACAAATAGACACTGAGTAATTTTTTATGGCAGCTACCGCTTAAATGTTATTATTATAATTTTTTATAATTTTTCAGAAAGCAAATAAAAGTTGAAGCTGAATTGTCCTGTTATTTTCTGTAATTCTTACTATTTGTTATTTCTGTTAATGGTTTGTTGTTACTGTTTTTGTGATTTAGAGATCTAAATCTGTGTATCTGTTTGTTGACTCTCACACTTGTTTAGATTCATAGGCTGATTCTTGATGTTCAAACCATTTTTTTTTTTTTTTTGAACAAAAATTTCCTACATAACACCTGATTGCTCAAACACACTGTGTGGTGGTAACAATACACAGATTTCTCTTGGATTTTTTATTTTAATTTTTTGCCATAACAAATATGTTTTATAAACACAATTAAAGCAGCCGAGGACAAGCTAATGATAGAAAGTCAAGGGTTGAGTGAAACTTAAGTAAACACTGATTTCCATCTTAGTAGTGTCAAACAAAATAATCAACATCTAAACCTCTGTTAATTCTCAATAAGAACTTCTGTAGACGTCTGACAAAAATAAAGTCGATCAGGGGTGCGTTTCCCAAAAACAACGATGGTCGCAAGTTCTGTCGTTACCAATAGAGTACATTGGAACTTACCTCCATAGTTAGCTAACGATGCTTTTGGGAAACTCACCCCTGGTCAGTAATAAGTGAAGCTGGTGATGGTGTTTGTGGAGTTGTTTAATCAGATCTTGAAAGATTTAATGTCTTTTATCTTCAGTTGATTTCATCACTTTATGGTTTCATTCATTACTCAGTGTTGTTTCACATTAAATGTGCACTAAGCAATTTTTACCAAACGATGTTGAAATTTGAAAGCACCAAAACAAATACGCTCAGACCCCAACATCACTGACATTGTATCGCACTGTTTATGAGACAATTGATGGTGCTTTATCTAATCAGAGAAAACACCTGCATGTACTTTCAGTATTCTAACCTACTTACAAATGCACCTGAATATAGCCAAAAAATGTGAGAAAACCAGTATGTACAGTCAACCCTAGCACATAGCACCCCTATTTTGATAACTCCGCCCACACGTACGTACACAACCCCGGCAGCGATGATGGTGGATCTGCCATGTCTGCTGGCCGCAGCATATTAAAGCACAAAAAAAAGTTGTGTGAAAAAGCAAAATCAGCGTAATTCACCTATTAAGAAGAAACAAAGCAACCTTGGCGTCCGATTCCCTTCCGCTCTTTGAGTTTCTCCACTGCTGGAAAGCTGCTCCAGTGGTTACGCGGTCCTACCTCTTGCCTGAACCCAATTCTTTTTAATGTATTGTTACTTCACAATTTTCCTCTTTTTTAATTTTTTTATCTGCCATCTCTAATTTTTAGCATGTGTGTTTGGCTGTTATTTTTTTAAGATTACTGATAAACTAATGTAGTTTGATTTGTATTAGTTATCTATTTTAGTTTTAGTTACAGTTGTAGTAATGTTGTCATTTTATTAGTTTTTTATTATGTCTATATAGGTTTTTTATTAAGTTTTAGTTTTATTTAATTTGAGTTATTTCAGTACTTCAACATACAGTTTTAATTACTTTTTCTTATTTGTAAGTCGCTTTGGATAAAAATGTTGCTAAATGACTAAAAGTAAAAAAGTAAAAGTAAATCTCTCGCTATCTATAGTCGATCAGCTAATCCGTCCTGTGCACTCACTGAGCGCTCTCTTCTAGCTGGTATTCAGTAAAGCGATATAGGTTATCATGATAATGAGTGAGTGAGTGAATGAAGTGACGTGGAGAGTATTGTGACCCATATTCAGAATTTGTGCTCTGCATTTAACCCATCCAAGTGCACACACACATTAGTGAACACACACATCATAAACACACACCCGGAGCAGTGGGCAGTCTGGGGAACAGTTGGGGGTTCGGTGCCTTGCTCAAGGGCACCTCAGTTGCGGTATTGAAGGTGGGAGAGAGCGCTGTACATTCACTCCCCCCACCTACAATCCCTGCCGGTAACAAGACTCGAACCCGTGACCTTTGGGTTACAAGTCCAACTCTCTAACCATTAGGCCACGACTGCCTCCTGCATATTGTTATCATGGGCACTTCAAAATACCGTGAATAATTATTTATTACAAATTATTCAGATTTTTTTGAATGCATTTTAAGAATACTTTCCCCATCAACTGGTCACAATGCACAACACCGCTGCGCACTCTCATGTAAACAAGCAAGGATGAGAAGCGTATGAGGCGCTGAATGAAAGCGCACATTCACTCTCTGACAGCAGGTGGCGCTGAACAGCAGAAATGCAGCCGTTACCCCGGAAACCCCAGAAACAAAGCAGCTGTGCAGCGCTTAAATAGCCATTCAGATTTGTGTATTCGCTATGGTGTTCATCACAGCGCCAAATACTTAAATATTTAGACTTAATAGGCTATTTATTTTCAAACCTTTTTTTACATTTTAATCTGGACAACAACATGCCTTAGATATTGTTTGAAAATGTTTTGATTCTTTATTGTTCAGTCACACTTTACAATAAGGTTTCATTATTAACATTAGTTTATTCATTAGTTAACATAAAATGCCAATTAAATTATTTTCTAAACTTTCATTAATCTTTCAAAATTTTATTTCAATGTTTAATAACACGTTAAAATCAAAAGTTGCTACGATGTTATTTAATGAACTCGAGCTAACATGAATTAACAGTTGTATTTTTAACAAAGATTAATAACTTCAAATGTAGCTATTGCTCATTGTTAATGTTAGTGCATTAACTAAGGTTAACTAATGAGATCTTATTGTAAAGTGTTACCTATTGGTCTTTATAATTATTTTGCACTTTAATCTGTGTGAAATTATTTACTTTATAGCCTACACTGTACAAAAATTACTGTAAATTTACAGCATATTTACAGCGTAAATTTACAGTACTGAACTGTTTTCTAAAATTACGGTGTCTTACTGTAAATGCACACATGATCGGTGGGGGAGGGGGAACCAAAGTCTAGCTTTGTACAAGTGATTGACGCTGAAGCATCGAGGAGCATCGATTTCAGTGAAAGTTTGATATGCATGGATTTCATCTCAAGTTGAAGCTCATTTACAGGTAAGCAGATCAGAGTCTGAAATAAGTGTGTATGTTTATTTTTTATGTGGGCACAATCTTTAAAAAAATTTTTTTTTACAAATTGATGCCAACCCTGAGGTTT